CTCAAAGTTAAAAGCATTCCAGCAGAAGGGCCTTATCTTCTCTGCTCCCCTACACCCCTGTTCCTGAGCCAGCCTCGTCTTGCATAGAGCTACTTCAACCACTTGCTTTGGAAATAATGTGGCAGTGTCAGAAATTCCCTCGAAGCAGGAGAATGGTCTTCTGTGAATAAGAACATGCCATCTGTGACTGGATTAAAGAGATGTGGTACATATGCACAATAGAATATTACTCAGCAATCAAAAAGCTAAACATACAGCTTTTAGAGCAACATGGATGGAGCTGGAAGGGGTCATGCTTAGTGAAATAAGCCAGAAAGAAAAGGAAACATATCAGATGGTTTCACTCATAGCAGGAGTATAAAGGACCAGGGGAGAAAATAATAATAATAATAGAGAACAACTATATGCCAGAGACATTTTGTGGGGGTGGAGTGGGATCAAAAATGGTGGTGGGGGGGAATGCACTGGACTATGGTGATGGCACATGGGTGATTTGGTGATGGCAAGCCCCCAGGGATTACAACTGAGATGGAAAATGGCACAAAATAATGTAAAAAATAAACTATTATATTATAAAATAAAAACATGCCACCTGTAATTGAAGGACTGGGGTACCAACCCTACCATCCCATCCCCCCAACTTTGCTGTCTATAACATCTTGGGCAAGTCGGTCAGTCTGTGCTTCAGTTTCCTTGTCAGAAAAGTGCATATAATATTAGTACTTACTTTCTTAGAGTGTTGCAAGTATGAAATGTTTTGTAGGCATTACAGGACAGTTTTCATTATTTTCTGTAAGTAGCTAAATTTACTTTAAGTCTTCAGCACCACAGTAAGCAGTTTCATACACTGGCTCTCCTGGTGGCCCAACGGGTTAGGATGTAGCTCAGCAAGCTAGCTGCAGCAGCCTCAGTGTGAGTTTGATCTCTGGTCCCGGAAGTGACCCACATGGCACAGCTGCTCCCCTCAGCAGTGTGCTTCATCGATCTGCCTGTTCTGCTCCCCACTCTGTCTCTGGTGAAGCCTCTCAGCACCCCTGTACCTTTGGCTTGTACCCCAGTTCTGTATGCAATAAATAAATAAATCTGAAAAAAAAAAAACAACTTTATGCACTATTTTTTGAGCGAGTGAATAGGATGGTACAACCGAATAAGGTACTTAACAGATGCACTATACCAGTCTAATCTCATTAGCACACGGGCATCTGACAGCCAGTTCCTGTAATGAGATGGGCTCAGGGTTTGTGATGGAAGTTAGATCCATCACCACTGAAATGCCTGGATAAAACACACAGAGGAGCCTCTCAGACTTGGTTAAGTGAGTCTGACACAAGAGGATAAAGGGCGACATCTCCATTCTCATTAAGAGATAACAGATGGACTTTGCTAAAATCCATTTTTAACTTAATTTCATTTGTTTAAATATTTTGTCTGATGAGATAAGGTCCTGAGAATAATTCTAAATTGTTCTCCCTGGAATGAATATTTCTTTATCTTTATTAGGACCTACCCCTATGGGGCTCTGTTGTCCTGGGTAGTTTTAATTATTCATCTCATCCAAATACAATAAATCTCCCTTTAATATTTTCTGCCTAGACAAGGTCTGTGGTGTTAGAAGATAAATGTTATGTGATGGGCAGCTGAATACAACCAACTTAAAACAAATTTCTAAGTATTGTCATTGTAATTTCAAATTTTCTTAAATTTTCTGGGCTCTTCTATTTCCTTTCATGATTTAGAAAAAGATGGCTTAATTGTACGAAGTTTCTCGATTTATGCCACCTCAGCTTATATTTTACAGCTGAGAATTTGTTTCCTTTCAGACTTGCTTGTTCTAAGAAAATTATGTGAAAGGATTTTTTAAAATCAGATTTATATCTAAGTTTACAGTTTCCCATCTCTTGAGATTTTCACCTCTTGATTTGAGCTTGCTTCATGGCCAGAATCTGTGAATGTTGTTTGTTTAGTTTTCAAACTTAGTTAATAAAGAAAGTAATTTTGTTTCAACAAGGTAATATAAGATTGGGTTATATATTTTAAATTCTATAAAATTCATGGACAAGCTGAAGGTCACCAGATAGGCAGAAACATTCTGTATTTATTCTTTTCTATGGTGCTAACTATAACCCTATACCTGGAACATAGTTGAGTGATTTTTCTGATACCATGAGGAAGTTGTTATTTGATCATGAAGCAGGTGTCTTAAGATATATTTCAGGATCGATCCACAAGCAGAAGTTCCACTTGCAAGAATCACAGATGAGCAGGGGAGACAATACTCACATACATCATATAAAGATGTATCTTTATATTGTTTGTAATTTAATTATATTCTACTTAGAAAATAATATTAATAACCCTACCACTTTAGAAAAAACTCTGCTGTGTTTCCAGAGACTCAACTTTTCATATTTGTTAGGAAACAGTTTTAATGTAATCCAATTTTCATGGAATGAGATCAATGTAGGTTTTTTTTTCAGACTCTCAATATATTTGCTCTTCTTACTCTGTCTCTGTCTCAGCAGATCCAGCTCACCTTCTCCCTTCTGGTGCTTCCAGAAGCCACAGAAGGAAAAAAAACTTATGGAAGACGTTGTTTTGTGCCAGTTTTTCCAGTGTTCTATCCCCAGTAAGGGGAGAATAGGGTTTGGCAAGTAGTAATAAAGAAATAATGACTGAATGAACATACAAACAAATGTCCTCTCTCACTAAGTTCTGTAGAAGTGTCCCGTAGAGTTATCAACTCATTATCCTGGGGTATTTGCCTCCCTTGTTCATCCATGATTCTTGCAAGTGGAACTTCTGTTTGTGGATTGATCCTGAAATGTGTCTTAGACACCTGCTTCATGTTCTCGCTTCCTGTTACCTCAGAGAATGGCATGCGTGGAGCCTTAATCTTTAGACCTCTCTGATGAATATTTAAGTGATGACATCTGTCTTATAAAAAGTGTCATGGTGCCAACTAATAGTCATGTTCTCGTCAATTTATGAGAAAATTTATTTTAAAAATAATTACTCTCAGCCCTCCCTGGTGGTGCAGCGGGTTAAAGCACAGCACTAAGAAGCTTAAGCCACTTCCGCATGAGTTTGATTCCCGCCTGCCCCGAGGAGATCCTCTCCTGACCCACCCACTGCTCCCCTCAGCAGTGTACTTCATCGATCTGCCTGTTCTGCTCCCTGTTCTGTCTCTGGTGAATCCTCTCACCCTCCGCATCTCTGGCCTGTACCCCAGTTCTATATGAATAAATAAATAAATCTTAAAAAAAATTACTCTCTACATCCTTTGAAGAATGCTATGATGCTGTATGCTTTAATATAGCCATAAAACAATCTAAATAAATTTATGTTTTTCTCAGAGGCAAAGGTGATAATGCAGCTTCAACATGGTAAATGATAAACATTTCATATCTGTTCTTCTCTAGATTGTGTTAACATTTCTGATAAACCAGAGCCGCCAAATGGTATATTTTGTTTGCTTTATGCCTTAATGTTACAAGGGGAACCTCTTTCAGAAGAACACACTAGGGAAGAAAAGGATAGCCAAAGCCAAGGAAAAGATCAGTTTTCAAGGTGCTTGCTCTCTTCAGAATCCTTCATTTGATCAGGCTGAAACCATATAATAATTTAATTTCATGTTCTTTGTCTATACTCATGTTGCTCTAAGAAACAGACCTTCTTCATTCTTGAAGCTGTATTCTTGAGCAGTTAAACAAAAATATTTCTGAAGAGACCATTTTTCTCACATCTCAGAACAAAGAAAAGCCACACCCCTCCTGAAGGCGTGGCTTATCGTGTCATATAAAACAATGAACCTCAGAGATGTTTCTCCATGTACACATTAGCTGAGAAAATAGCTGATTTTTGAGAGAGCAGAGCAGACTTGAGGCCCCAGGTCCCACAGTTATCAGCTACACACTCTACTGTCTATATGTCCATGAACCTTTCTTCATGTTGACTTTTATTTCCTAATTAGGATTCTCTTTACTCTGATTATCCTGACAATCTACTGCCCCTGTTGAATTTGAGTAACTATGAAGGGCTCCTTTATGGAAGGGCATTCAGACAATAGTCAAATGTCAGCTGCTGGGAAAGAAAGTGCATAGCATGCACATGTTGCATGCTTTCTTATGCTAAGATATTGGAGGGCAGAGTGCAAGTTCTCAAAGATGGTAGTGCTCTAAATTTCAACATACAGTTATTTTTTAGAGAGCCAACAGTGCTGTCATTAAGCACAACCAAAGAAACAATGCTCATTAAAATTTGGCAAAAACAACTAACTAACATGGTATTTTAACAGCCTTGGAATCTCCCCTATGATAAAATGTTGCATATATACATGCCATTTTTGAAAAATGTTATAGCAAAGTCACAATTTTAAAGTCTATAATTATTATATGAAATACATTAAACAAACCAAAAAATCATATATAATCTCATCTCTCCAAAATCATAAGTATTAATAGTGTGACATTTCCTTATGTATTTTCTGCATATATATGAATTCCCATAGTTTATAAAGATATGAGTAATAGTTTCT